GTTAGCCAGGAGCGTCATGAGGTGCTCGACCTGGTTCCTGACGTTGTCGTCCTGGAACCCGAACGAGTTCGCCAGCTCGTCGGCGCAGGACAGAGCCGACTCCCTGGGGAAGCAAAATGCAAGGGGGCAGCGGTAAAAAGCATGATAAGAAATGTCGAATGCGGTAATTATCATTTTACGGCTCCGTGGGGAAGCAATCACAAGGGCGCAGGGGAATGTACAAACATGATCAGGTGTCAGAACTCTTTAAAAGTGTAGTTCACGGCTGATTCCCGATACAAATATACACATGGGGGTGCCGTGCCGTCCAAGCATTGTCTGTTTGCGCACACACATGCATACGATGAGTGAAACGGTTGTACTTTCCCTCACGAAACACGATGCCTGACAGGGTACATATTTCGGGAACTATGGACTGTGTGTGCAAAGGTTGACGTTCGGCGAAACTTATGTAGTTCATCAACACACCGTTTGGCAACAAAGGCAGGCAGCAGCTATGCATACCGTATTGCCATGTAACACTCTCTCCAACCAGCGATGTTGATCGCAAAAAAAAATGAAAGTCTCTCGGAACGCTCCACCCCAAGTCGGCGCCAGCCGGCTTCGAACGGTTTTCAAGCCGTATACAACATCATCTTAACGTTGGTGTTGGTCGGCTATGAGGGGGGTCCAAGCCGTACACAATATCGTCTCGTACAACCCCTAGAGGGTACAGCAGCGGCAAAAAACAAGCAGCTCACGCGTTGATCCTAAGCCCGTGCGGAAGCGCATCCGTGTCGAAGTAGTTCCACGAGTTCTGGTTGTCCGGGTACGTCCAGGTGGTCCTCTTCGCCCTAGCCGCCGCGCCCGCCCTACCCCGGCCTCCCGGCGCGGCGGCGGCGGCGGCACCGCCGTCCTCGCCAGCGACGCTCGTGTAAGGGTTCACGCCGCCGCAAAGGCCGCACCAGCGCTGGAGGAACGCCACCGGCGAGATGGCGCCCGAGGCGTGGCCCTGTGTTTGCGTGCGTGTTATTGGTTAAAAAACAACGGTCGAGGCGCATTGTTTTTTGGTTCGTGCGTCCAGCTAGCTAGCTGTCCGTGCAGCTAACGAGAATTCGTTCACGATATGCACACGAAATGACGAGTCAGGCTGGGATTTTCGTTTTCTGGTTTCGGGCCCAAATAAGCGTCATTTGCGCATGTTTTCATCTAATTCGATTTTCCGAGTATTTTTTTTTTATTCTTGGGCTGGGAAGGAGGCAACAGCTGCACACTTTGTAGTAGCGCCGCGCGTCGCACGAAAGTCGGGGGAATAGGGAGACTTCGACCGGGAGGGAAAGGCATGGGAGGAGAACCGTCTCGCCTTGCTGTGTGTGTGTACTTCTTCATGCAGAGGCAGACGGAACGGAAAAAGCTACTATACTAAGTACGGCAAACAACCCTGCACACGCTACACGAGTCGCACGCGCATACGGAGCCCCCCCGCGGGACACGGCCCAGTTATTTTCCGGTACCGCCGCCGCCCCCTCTTGCCTGGACAGCGACGCCCAAGACCGTGAGCACGGCCCACTCGAGGATCAGAAACGGCATGTGGCACTCCCCCCAGCAGTGCTTCCCTTCCGACCACCTGCCTCGATCATATCCGGGGCCAATCCAAACACACACGCGTGCCAGAGGGAGGGGGGAGAGGGAGAGGGGGGGCTGCGGATCGAACAAGAGCGTTTCGTGCGAAAAAAAAAAAACATGCCAGTATACGGGAGAATGCTTGTGGAAAATAAAGAGCGATGAACCAACAAACACAGTGACTGGGGTTGTCCTGAACGCTGAGTCGACCGCTGCAACGACACAGCTTCCGAAGCAATACCGACGATACATTGATGCTCAGTAGATGATGGCGATTCCAACAATACAAAACAAACCACGATCAATCACCGCCACCACAACGAGGGGACACAGCCAAAAAACAAAAAAAGAGGATCCAAGAGTTACAATGCATATCGTCGAACAAAGGATCTTACGTCATCTGCAGGATGTTCATGACGCCGAAAATCAAGCTCCTCTCGAGAACCAGGTCCGTGCCGCAAGCTATCACGAGACCCCCGGCCGCTGAGGTCATGACGATCGCGCTAGCTTTCTCCTGGAAAAACATTGAGAACAAGAGGAGATAGAGAGAGCATTAGGACAAGAAAGAAAGGAGCGATCTATTTAGTATCAACATCATCGATACAGCGAGGGTTTGTTGCACATATGCCTACTATGTAGGGCAGATACGCACAAGAGAACCAGAGAGAGACACCGAGAGACAGAGACAGAGACAGAGACACAGACAGAGAGGGGGGGGAGGAGACGGCAGTGGTTCGAAACCGAAATCTTGGTGCGGATCGTCCCAACGAACCAAACCAAGCGCCTCTCCCCTGCCTCCGCAACCCCGTCCACCAAACGCAGCCAGCGAACCACGAGGCGGAAGGCAGACAGACAAACCGCCAGGAAGGCCGGAGAAATCAGTCCGTCGGGAAAAAAAACATCTGAGACTCTTCGTCACAAGGAAACAAAAAGGCACATCCGAAGGATCATCTCAGCCGCCCTTCCACACACCAGCCAAAAGGAAAACCGCACGCGACGTCCCTCCCCACACAACAAACGCACGCACGCACGCACGCACGCACGCACGCCGGATACCGTAACAGGCGGAGGAGATATGGCAGCCATCTTTAACCCTAGATTAACATATGCATGGAAAAAAAAAAACGGTTGCTGCACAACCAAAGGGGGCGCGGAAAGCGTCCCGACACGTCCACGAAGAAGAGCTCTCGATGACATGTTTCCAAAACCCACCAATATTGGCACAATCTTTGGCTGCGGAGTAGTCGAGCTCTGAAAATCGGTCTACTTTTTTTGGGGGGGGGGGGGGGGGGCATC